TTGATTTTGTCCTGCCATGTTGATGTTGATATGGCACAAGCATGCAAAAATCTTTAGCACCCACGTTACTTTGAAAGTTTCATCATTATTGAATCTAGTTAGCAAAAAGATGGCAACCCACAAACTCAGACTCTGGTCCAAAACCAAGTTCCAAAAGAGCTTCAATAATTTCATTTCCACCTTTTATGGCACACTACATAAGCATAAACGAACTATATATAATTACATGAAAATGTAGAACTCTACCTCAAATAATAGATAACTCAAAAATGAAATCAGCAACTTTAATCTAACATAAAAGGAGAGTTATAGCTGCATGCATGATAAAAAGAATATTACACCTTTTGTTTTTGGAGTCGAAATTATCAAGGCACAATTTCAATCCTTTACACCAAGCTTGGGTTGTTGTGAACCACAAATTATCCAATTATATAACCTTTAATGGCAAAAGATTGAGTTATATACTTGCCATGAGTTTTGAGATGATTAAAGTAAAAGATTGAGTTTGAAATAATGTTAGCATGCTATGGTTATTATAAATTCTGCCTATTAATTGGTATGCACATACACATTATTTTGGAGCAATTCTTCTACACTGCATATTATAATTAAGTATGACATGAAACACATATTTTATACATACTTGGCACTTTTAAATTTGTGAGGCAAATGTTAACATTTGGTTAGAGTTTATCCATTGTATTCAGATTTTATAAATTATCTTCCTTTATGCTTGTTTCCCATCCTCACTCTCTCATTGAGTATGAAAGGCTCACCCTAATTAATTAATAATGGTAAATAAGTGATTGAGAGGGTGGCTTCTTGGGTGACTAAATTTCTGTTGATTGGATAGGTAAAAAGCGTCTCATAGCGCTTCCGTTTTGTCACTCCGCTTTCTAGAGCTTGGTTGTTTTCAAAGGAATGGTCTATTATCTAAACTTATGAATTATGGGTCATGTCTCTTGGTTGTCCTTGAGTTAAATTTTAATTGTGTAAATGAGTTGGAGATTAACTATCTAAGAATTGTCGTGTTGGTATTTAAAATCTAATATTGTATTCCATGTTTGAATTCAGAATTTATATTGTTATATTTAGCATACTTCTTTCTAGGTTAATGAAAATCGATGTTTATGAAATAAATTGTGGTGATAAAAGTTTTGAGTTAATAGAATTTTGCTTATTAAGATAATTACATCGAGGAGGCTTGTTGAGTTGTGTAAACTTGCCTACATTGCTCATGCGCGAGTAACAGTAGTAGGGTTGGTTGTTACAAATTCTAATAGTAGAATAATTTATTCATTAATATTATAAAATTTTAATTATATATAATTGGATGTTAATTTTTTATATATAGTTATCTTTCAATTATAATTATATTTTATTTATAGACAATTAGTTTTATACTTCTAAATTTTAATTTTTTTTATAAATTAATATGGCTTTTGTAGTGCACTATGAAGTCTTTTATTATTTTTCATAGCTTTGATTCTTCATGGAATAGATACATTTTGTACAACTTCAACATATATGCAAAATGCATTAGGATATCTATAGCAATTTCATATCCAAATCATTTTATAGCCTTAGCCAAATTAACTAGGATATTGATAGAATGTATATCTCTTAAAAAGAATGAATTAGTTCAAAATTGATAAATACGTCAAACACAGGAAGAAGTCCATTCAAAAAATTTAAATTTCACCATCAATAAAGATACTTTTATTTCTTCTATCATTATTTTGTATAGAATTTATCAAGAGTTCTTTGTCAAAATGAAAAAACAATCTTAAAAATTATTCATGACAAAGAACATCAAATAACATTTCCTTGGATTTCAAGTTGATAATATTTACATTTTGATAACTTAGATACAAAGAGATTTATCATGAAACATAGAAATCAAGAAAAGTTAAACAATCGACCTTCTCATAGCTACTCTATAGATTTTTTTTCAATCTTGAAGTTGAGGATGGTGATTTAAAACTAAGATTTGAAGTTTTAATTCAATGAATAAAAGTGTTTCAAGGAGTATGCCAAGACCCAATCTTAGAATACCTCAAGCAACATTCTAAGAATAAAAAATCAAGCATAACCGGTAAGAAATGGTTGAGTCATGAGTTTTTAAATAAAATAAGAAAAAATTATTCACGTGTTACGAATCTTTATAAGAGATGGTTGAGTTTTGAATTTTTGTCTTTTGCCTTAAAAACGTCAACACATGACAAGTGTATCACAATAGACTCAAATTTTCTCTAATATAGGGTCATCATAAGATATATCAATTTTGATCTCTTCTATGAGCCCATGAGAGATTAGGGTCATGGTCTCTTTTATATAAAAGAGCTAGTGGGGAAGATCTTGGGTTTATAACTAAAGATTTTCCTGCACTTATCAAGCATATTGAATTGAAAATGTAGGCTCATGACATAAGATCCAAATTAGCCGATTTGTAGTCTTTCAAGCCTAGGTCCAACATTAAATCTTATGATATAAATATAATATATAAAATAATATAAACAAGTTATATAAATAAATGATATCATGATACTTAGGATACGAATAAGAGAAATTAAAAGTGGAGAAAAAGTCACAAGAATAAAAGAAATTCCATTTGTATTTTTTCTTTTTATATATAAGAGAGAACCTTATGACTCAAAAGCTATATAAAAGTTATAATTATTTTTTTTTAGGTAAAATACAATGACCTTCTTAAACTTTGACCATAATTACATGCGAGTCTATTAGTATTCAAAATGGATGATGCACCCAAATACGTAAACGGTGTTAATACCTAAACATGAAATGCCTAAAATACCTTTCTTTTTTTCTCACTATTTTTGTTCCTCTTAGGTTGATCGATGATGCTTCTTTACACCGATCGCTCACCTTTGTAGTCGGATTTGGTTATAGAATGCCAGATCTCCCTAAGGAAGTGCGAGATCTGGGCACGCCCCTCAAATCGACGCTCCCTTGGGGAGCCTTATTTTGATGCTCCCTTAAGGAGCATCGATGCACGATGTGTAGCAACAATCGTGCTCCTTGACCAAATCCAATCATGGGGTGGTCAGTCGGCAAGAGGTAAGGCAGAGAGAATTTTTGTTGAATAAGAGAAAATTTTAAAACTGAAAAATTATAAGTTATGTAATGGTAATTTTATAAATTAATGAAAGATAATTATTCTAAAAATATTATCACATCATCAAATTAAAGAAAACATTGACGGTTGATTAATGATAGGATTTATATGTCTTACGAAATTTTTACAACAAACTATTTATTTTAAATAATAATGAACCTTGTATGTAATTATGATCAACAGTTCAAAAAGTCAAATATATTTCACCCTTTTTTTTCTGTACTTCTTTCTAACTTTTGATTTCTTTTTCAAAAAGTTAAAACAACCCAAGTTATATCCAAAGGTATAAAACACCCACTTGGCCTTTTATAAATAGTCACATCATCTAATATTTAGTGTGTTTGGACATTTGCTTGGGTAGATTTCATATAAATATTTGAACATATATAATATATATTTTATTTAATTTTAATTTTATATATTTTAATATTAACATTTTATGTAGATGGATGGATGAGGCTAGATTCGAATTATTTTTAAATTGTCCTCCCTAAAGTAGGTTTGATCCAACTAGAGTCAGGTTTGAGTTTAAATTTTTAAAATTCAAATCTAATGTGATTAAAAAATATTAGTAATAAATAATATATATTTTATTTCATTTTAAACTATGGATGAGAATGGTTGGTGTTGGTGCATGCATTCTGTAGCAATATATATAGAATATTAGTAGTGAATATTTAAAAAATAAATAAATAAATTGTAGTGAAGGTCAATTATGGATGACTTCCATAACCACTTTTTAGGAATATTATTTGTACAATATCATGGTTTTACGTTTGTCTCCTTCTCTTTTCATCTACAACATGATCACTTTTAATATATATATATATATATATATATATATTATCATTTGTTTTTATTAATTTAAAATAAATTTTTGGGGAAATATATATGCCTGTATATTTAAATGAAGTTAAATTCTAGAACATGTGTTTGCCTTGCATTTTGGCATAATCACTCACATAGAGCTGATTGATTGCTGATTATATATTTCCATCTGAAGAATATGATTCTGGATGAGTATGTTATGATCCTAAGTATTATGATATAATTTATTATATATACTTTTTTTATATTATTTTATATTAAATATAATAATATAGAATATGAAATGTAATTTATAATACATTAATGTATCAAATGTTATTTTATAACATAAGATTTAATGTTGGGCTTATACTTGACTGACCACAAATTAGTTAAGTTGGGCCTTAGACTAGCCCAAACACTTCTTTCCCATTTTCTTTTGTTTTTTGAATTTTCTTCCTTAAAGTAAAATTAAAATGAACAATTCATCGGTTAGTTGGTTCGATTCATCGTAAACAAGGATCAAAGGGATTTAATTTTTTTGAAAAAGTATTAAACCAACCAAATTTAAAAAAAGAATTGAATCCATCAGTTCAATTTTGAATTTAAAAATAATAAAAATTGTCATTATTATCTTTTATAAATTATAATATTTAAATTTATAAATTTTATTTATAATTATAAAATATATTAATAATTTAAATATAAAAAAATATAACAATTGTCCTTTCACTTGTATAAATCATAATTTGTAACATTAACAACATCAATATTTTTAAAATTAATATTCATCATAACAAGAGTCAAGACAATTTTTTATTTTTTACATAAGTCATAAAATTAAAATTTAAGAGTTTTAAATTCAAAATTCTAATATTCAAAATTTAACATAATAAAAATAATAAAATTAATTCTAATAGCAACTAAGTAAGTAGTAAATGGTAAATATATAATTTATATAAGTATATAATATATAATATTAGATTAAGTTTTATAATCAATTTGATAAAATAGTTTATAATCCAAAATTAATTAAGATTGAATCAAATTTTTTAGATTGATAGGTTGAATAGACAAATCGGATCGAAATCGTTTTATCGAAATTACATTCGATTGATCCGATTTAATTTTACACATTTTAATTAAAATTGCGCCATTTATGAATGGACTTTTTATTTGTTTAAAATTCTCCTTTTTCTGGAAGCTTTACCTTCTCATAAACTCTTCTCCCTCTGTCTTTGGCAGCAAATTAAGAAGAATGAGCTTCGGCCACGCGCAGAGCCAGCCCGAACTCGTGATCACTGTGACCGAATCCATTCGCTCGTTTCTTCTCTCAGCATCTAATGATCCATGCCTTTCTCAAGAGTTTCGACAACTCGCTCTCACTCTTTCCTCACGAACCAATGCACCGTACAAGCCAATCCGAAGTATATGGATCGGGTCAGATGTAGACACAAGACCCGGATTGATTTCCTTGTTCTCCGGATCTGATTTTGTTTTTGCCAGCCCTAAACCGAGAGAGAAGGTAAATGAATCATGATTTAGTTTTCAACTTTCTAGGTATGTGTTTGGTTGCGTTTTCTTATTAACCGTGAAATGAAGTTAGTGTTGTGTTTTTTTGTTTGAATCGGTAGAGCGAAGAATTGCAGGAAAGATTAAGGAAGCTTAAAGAAATAGCAGAGAGGAAAGAGTATGAAGACCTTGTTAAAGATATCACGCCGAAGAAGGAGTTGAATGAACCTTTCTCTACTTATAAGGATCAACTTGGCTTTGGTTAGTGGTATTCTTTGAGAATATTTTGCCTTTTAATTTCGGAGAATGAAACATAAATAGCAGAAAGAATGATCAATAGGAAGAAAAGGGAGTTTAAATAGTATGTTTTTTCCCAATTGCAAGATCTTTCTTTCACATTTATGCTTCCCATGATGTATATACAAACAGGTTTACATGTTGCACTGATGATGTTTACTGGGTATTTGGGTGGATATTTTGCATTTAGAGCATTGTTTAACCACAGTTCTACCATGGTACTTTCAAACTCCCATTCTCAAATTTATAAATAGCTGTTTGGGGTGCTTTTGATTATTTTGTACTGAATTTGGTGATGCTTGATTTTTTATTCTCAGAATGCTGCTGGAGGTATTCTAGGATTGGTTATTGGCATGCTCGTTGAAACACTTTTGTTCATTATTAGAACTTCGAATCCTGACTTTAAATCACCGTCCTCAACTTTGAGATTGAAGAAAAATCAATAGAGTAGCTATGAAGAGGTTGGTTGTTTATCTTTTCTTGATTTTTACTTTTCATGATAAATCTCCAAGTATTTGAGTTATCAAAATGTAAATATTGTCACCTTGTAATCCAAGGTCATGTTATTTGATGTTCCTTGTCATGAACAACTGGAAGGTTTTGTAGGATTGATTTTTAATTTTGGCTAAGAACTCTTGATGAATTCTGTACAAAGTAATGGGAGAAATAAAATTATCTGTAATGAATGGTGAAATTTAAATATTTTGAATTGGCTTCTTCCTGTTTTTGACATGTTTATCAATTTTGAATTAATTCATTCTCTTTAAGAGATATACATTATCAATATCCTAGTTAATTTGGCTAAAGTTTTAGTATGATTTGGATCTAAAATTGCTATAGATATCCTAGTGCATTTTGTATATTTTGAAGTTATACAAAAGGTATCTATTCCATGAAGAATCGGAACTATAACAAAAGAATAGAAGACTTCATAGTGCAATTCAATCAAGTCTTAGCTAGGCCACAAGTCCTTTTATTGACTCCTTATTTGAATATCTCAAACTCTTACCTTGTACATGTTTTAAAGATTGCTCACATCATCGTAAATCTAAAAAATAAAAACTCTTTATAAACAACATGTATCTTGTTAATAACAACCATATTATCTTGGTTTGTGGACTGTATTTAACCCAGAAAATTAGTCTCCTTGTTGTCGAATGATATTTCTCTTGAGTCTTGATTGTGTTTTGATTTCTTTGGTGAAAAGAAAAAGTGATTCTCTCCCTTAATTAACACTAGATTTTGCTACTAGATTTTGCAAGTATAAGCAAAACCTCGTTTAGAGTTATATGCTGTTGCCATTCGTTATGGATTACCATTGGAGGCTGTACAGTTGGATAATTTGTGATTCGCAACAACCCGAGCTTGGTGTACAATTGGATTGAAATTATGCTGGATCTTTGATAATTTCGACGGCAAAGACAAAAGGTATAATATTGTTTATACCATGCATGAAGCTATGACTTTCCTTTTGTGTTAGATTAAAGTTGCTGATGCCATTTTTGGGTTATCTATTGTTTGAGGCCGAGTTTTACATTTTGATGGAATTGGACATTGTTGGATTATGCTCGTATTTTGTTGGATAAAAGGTGCAAATGAAATTATTGAAGCTTTTTTGGAACTTGGCATTGCACCAAAGGCTAAGTTTGTGGGTTGCCATCTCTTCGTCAATTGGATGCAATGATTATGGAACTGTAAAAGTACATTTGTCCATGCTTTTGGCATATCAATTTAACATGGCAGGAAGAAATCAGAGAATCAATGTTGTTTTTTATTAAGGGCGTTGCTAATGATCACCTCTTCCTTAGGCTAATCTTTTGCATGGATAACTACAATCCTTCTTTTCACTTTTTGTAATTCTAATTCATTAATTTGTAGTTTGGAGATTATTGGACCATTAGTTTTCTCCTTAATATGTGTGTATATATATATATATACCAAAGTCAACCAGGAATCGAGAGCGGCAAATATTCACTAGAAAATAATAA